TCTCTCTCTCTCTCTGTTATTTAATTATACAGTGCAACTTCTCCATAAGGAACGGCCAGTTGCACGCCAAAAGTGTTCCCTATAAAGAGGGTTCCTCCAAGGGAGGTTCTGTTATAGGTACAGAAACCCCCCAAATTTATTTCAAATCCGTTCCCCCAAAGGAGGTGTTCCCCCAAGAGAAGTTCCCCCAAGAGAGGTTGCACTGTATTTATACCCCATTAATGAATGTACTAAGCCCGGGCAAAATCAAACTAGGAGTTGTATAAATAGTATGCCTCACTTCCAACAATCAAATGAATCATTGAAATGAGGCTTTTAGTGCACTCCATGTGTTTGTATGTCTCAGACCTGTCCACTCACGCCCGGCATCAGTAGTTGTGTTGATTTGTAAATTCATATAAGAGCTCAATTAAACGAGCTCTACTCACAAGTAGCAGTTAGCATAAGGTCTATAAATACAAATCAATTCAATTTAATGGCAATCAATGATATAATAAGCAATTGTTAAATAAATATCTTTATTATTAGTGATAAAAATAGAAAACCGGTGTTTTGTTTGTATGATATAAGAGATACGTAATATGATAATAAAAAACAAGAAATGGTTATAATTTAGGTTTAAGTTGTTTCCATTTCCACTGTTGCGATTGGTCACCAGAGCGGCACTCCGAGAGGTGAACCTTTCCCACATCGGCTTCAAATGTTAGACACAAACTCTTTCTCTTGTATTTCAGTTGTTGTGATTTCTATGAATACAGCAATTGTGTGACAGTCTATCTTATATTGGATGTGTGTGAGTATGGCTGACCTGATCGTAACTCCAGGGTCCGTCTACTGTTCCCAGTTTGCAGTAAACGAGAGTCATTTTATCCCTATTGGCGTCGACACAGCGCTCGCCGAGACCTAACTGTCCCCTTTGGTTCAATCGGAACAACTGATTGCCTCCGTGTCCGTGACAGTGAGACAGCGACAGAGTGGACGGCGGTTGTGATCCTCCGGAGTCCAGACACGTGTCTGACTGCAAGTGTCGCACTTCTCCCCACTTGACGTTCTCCGGAAGTCGCGGGAAGTTTCGGAACACATCTGACGCATGAGTTTTAACAAACCAATCAAATGACTTACACTTTAGGCGTTCCTGTATTGTAGAGGAAGGATGACATTAGGTATCACTTATATCACTGGTGTCTCACTTTGAGTTCCATTTGTTGTGAGATGTCTCCGGTGTCATAGAACTGAGCCATAGGTTCTCGAGCGTAGAAATACTGTTTGTAGAGATCGTCGAACCAAACTTCGATAACTCTCTTATAATTAGTCAAAACTAATGGTCCCTTACGTTGATTAGCCATTGAGCCAAAGGTATAGGGCATGAATGGCCTGTAGATATGGCCGACTCGAGAACAGGGAACCCATTGCAAGCGACCGCCGCATTGCCATACTTTGAAGGACAGCTCAAAGTTCTCTCCGCCCCACACCAACAGACCCGAGTCATAGCCCCCTAACTCCAGGAAGAACTTACGCGATATGGCAAACAGACCGCCCGCATGTGTCGGAGAGTCGTACGGTTCAGACACTCTATGATGTCGACTGTGATTCTTCATATCTAATTCAATCTCTTTGTATAACATCCCTGTATTATAACATTCATTGTAATGACAGGTATTAATACTTAATCAAATAAAACCAATTATGCCCCAACCCATCACAACACAACACATACCCCACTCCCAAATGCCCCGAAAGTGTTGATCGTTTCGAGAATAGACAGGTCTGTACTCGAAATGATTGGAATCAATGCCATCAATGATGGGAACAGTCATTGTGCGGCTGTCCAGAGCTATTGGTGCCAGAAGTGGAACCAACCAATTCTGGTTCACTTCGCAGTGAGCGTCCAAAAAGACAATTACATCTCCCACCGCTTGTTCGGCACCTTTTGCACGACTCCTAATGAGTCCCGACCTCTCTTTGTTGCGAATTAATCTCACTTTTCCTGTCCTATCACTCAACGTCTCACCACTAAAGTCATTGTCTTTCACTTTGCTTTGAGACCAATTGTGGTCGAATGGCCCGAAATGCTCCATCAGATAGTCATCGAGTTGTCCTATGGATGTGATTGCATGTAATGGATGTAATGCTCTCATTAAATGCCTTATATCCAGACATACCTTTGAGCGGCTCTTTATCACTGAAGTCGTCCACAAGAAGTACTTCTCTGAGAAACCTTTTTGGTGACCGCAAGAGAACGGAGTGAACGGTTCTCAATAGAGTGGTGAAGCCCTCGTTGTGAAACACTATCACCACTGAAGCAGTGGGCAGTTGTGTGGGATAGTGCCAGTACTTACACTCTTCGTGCCTAATGTCTGGCACCGACCGATCCATTGCAATGTGATCTGAGGCCACAATATTCATACCATATTCATTCTTCTTGGCGTTCACTTCATTCCAGTCAATGCCTTCGCCTTCCAACAGGTATTTGTGTCCGTCATCTCCGGGTCGGGACTGAGCCGCGTCTCCGCCCACCACAACATTCAACTCAAAGTTACCTTCATTTCAATGAATCAATCAATCAATCAATTCAAGTGATGACAACATTACAAACACTTACCCAACACTTGGTCCCTAAATAGAGGCACTTTCGACATGTGGTCATTGTTGGCCATCTCGGGTCTGACCACTTGTTGGCCATCATTGGTGCGGGAATGGCGCCCATTGTGGGCCTCGGACTGCACTGGCATTGTCTCGATGTCTGGTTTGGGGAAGAGAGTGATGACCACCAAAATGAGGGCAATCAGCGCAATGACGGCCACCACAGGAGTGGAGAGCCGACGGCAGCCCAGGACTCGCAGTCGACGTGGAATCACAATATGAAGTGTCATCTCTAGTGAGTCCACACTTCACACACCTATCAGTCTATCACTGCCTTCACTACCAGTCTATCACTGAATGGCAAGTATTGGCCAAACACTCAATCACTCATATATTGATTACAATCGCTATAAATGACAATCAAATCCAATACTAATCACTATTACTATTATCTGAACATTGATTACAAACTTTTATTTAGATTCAATCAAAACATTAATACATTAATACATAAATAATGTTAGTTTACAATCAATTACACACAAATAACTACAGCATTCACGTAATATGAATATTTATAACTACAATAACAGTAACATGCCACTATCAAACGTTATTATATAAAAGTATCATGTACATTATATGGATAAGATTAATTAATCAAACGAATACAGTGCAACCTCTCTTGGGACAACTTCTGTTGGGGAACACCTCCTTTAAAGGGACGGATTTGAAATATATTTTGGATTTTCTATACCTATAACCGAACCTCCCTTTGGAGGAACCCTCTCTATAGAGAACACTTTTGCCGTTCAATACTAAGTCTATGACTTAGGGATAACATGGGTAATGCTAAGTCTATGGCACAGGGATAACATGGGTAATGCTAAGTCTATGGCACAGGGATAACATGGGTAATGCTAAGTCTATGGCACAGGGATAACATGGGTAATGCTAAGTCTATGGCACAGGGATAACATAGGCAATGCTAAGCGCTATGGCACAGGGATAACATAGGCAATGCTAATACAGGGATAACATGGGTAATGCTAAGTCTATGGCACAGGGATAACATGGGTAATGCTAAGTCTATGGCACAGGGATAACATAGGCAATGCTAAGTCTATGGCACAGGGATAACATGGGCAATGCTAAGTCTATAGATACTGTTGCAACTAATGTTAATCTTATTGACAATGTTGAGCCTATGGGACTAATGCTAATTCTATTGATAATATTGATCTTATGGGAATTATGCATGTTAACTCTATGAAATTAGTGCTCAGTCTATGACAAGTCTATTGTACTCATATTAAATCTATGGATAATACTAATCAATTCTTTGAGCACTACCCGAATTGTGGTTAACCGCATCGCTGTGTGCGAGTTGTTTAATATAAATTGACATTTTACCCATTGACACTAAACTTTATCCATACAATTACATGTTAACTATATTTTTGATTATTTTTTAATTCATTTGGATTTATGTTTATATATTATAGTAAAAATACAATTAACTGTTTAATTAACAACAAATTAATTTAAAGCTGTTTGGTATTTAATTAATTAAATCATTATTTTTATGCAAATTGTAATGCTTTTAAATAACACAAATGGATAACACTTTGCCTATCGTTTTGCTTGAAATAATAGTATTTAGAAAATAATTTAAATGTCGCTTTCAGTTCGCCACAAATCATACAAATCACTTGACAAACGCATGGCTTAATTACAGGCAAAATACAATGAAAATCTTTGCCAAACATGAATCCGGTCACAAATAACTGCTGAGGCCCTGAGTGGTCACAATTGGGCACAATTGGACACAATCGGTCAAAAATATGGCAAAATAATGTGCCATCGATTGGAAGCGCCCCAGAAATGACCGAACTTGCTTACTTGCTTACTTGCTTAGTGGTTTGATTGTTATAATAATGTTTGTATTTTGTATTATACAGTAGTAGGTTTGATTTTGAACATTTTGAACACATTTCAATTACTATTATCTAGATAAAGATAACAAATGAATGAATAGTATTGTATAGCAATTGTCACTTGAATTGGTTGTAATGAAGATGTGTGCCATTTATTCGCATTCAATCTCCTTCTCCAAGAAATACGTGCGAACTATTCCTTTGCCCTAAAATTTAATTACAATTAATAATTGAATGCATTTTATAAGAAAATAACCTTTATTTCAATATCTCCTCGAAGTTTGAGTTCAAAATTACCAAAATTATCTAAAATTGTTTTCGTTTGACTGCTTGTATGGATCTTATTAGCTGTTAATTGAATCGCAAATTGTATTAATGTTATTATGGAAATCATTTTAAAATTGTCAAAATAATCAAATATTTGCCTGCAATTGACTAAAAAAATAAAAATTTTATGTGAGATAAGTTGGTTAAAAATTAGCTTTTCAATATTAACATACATCATACATGTTGATGTAAATAATGTATTATAATTAGTGTTGCCAGAAGCTCCCGGTTGCCCAGGAGTCTCCCGGAATCAGGGTCTGACTCCCGTCTCCCGGCGGGGGTCTCACCTTGATATGGGGAGCTCCCGGTATTGCATGATGATAAATAAATTGATAAAATTTACCATTTTTGCTTGGAAACCTGGTATAAAGATGAATACTACTATTATTAAATTTACAATGATTGTTTCACTTAATTCACAATATTTGATTTGTTGAGAATCACAATCAGCATAGTATTTTAAAGTAAATAATGTCAAAAATCATATAGATTTAAACGTTACTTTGAGTTTGGACTGATTATTTTGATAATTATTAGATGTTAATCACATTTTAAGACTATTTTGCCACCTCAAGGAAAGACTCAAGGAATTCTTTAAAAATTATCAAGGAATCTCCCGGAAAATTTACTAAAGAAATGAATATATCAAGGAAATAAGGAATATGACCTGGCAACACTAATTATAATATAAAAGATAGTAAAATAAATAAAAAGAGAATAATAGAATAATAATGTTTCATTATAAAATAAATAGATAGCTCTAATTTGGTCATTATTTATGCAGTTATTGAGCAGGGATTATTGTCAATGGATTTTCCCGATTTAGTGCGGGTTGGTATTTGTGTGTGGAGTGTCGCCACCACATGGATCTTCAAAAATCACTTCAGGCCTATGGCCACAGACACCCGAGTTATGACCAAATTTTTAATGAATACCTTAGATTTATCCTTCTATCTTAGAATATCAGCCATTTTTGCCCTTCTATATTAGATTTTGCTACCTTAGAATCCTTTTATCTTGGAGTCATTTCTCCGGTCCCGACCAGGTCTAAGATCCAAGGTTCAACAGTATACTAATTGGTTAATATTCATTAAATAGTACAATTTGATAAAAAGGCGCGAAATGTTGCTGATGTGCTTTTTAGGGCTATCAACAAATTAGTCATTTAATATGCAGACTAAACAAAGACCACGAATTAGTCAGAGAATCATAACATATAATATATAACTAATGCTTTAAAGTGAACAAATAGTTGTAATAAATAGTTAATAATCATTATTGTGTTTAAAACTATGAGAAAAGCATCCAAAAAGCATCCGAAAGGTTTCCCTAATCACTTGGGCCAAGTGCTTTAGGGCTAACGAAAATTGCCCTCCTTTAAAATTACTCGTATTCTTAAGTTATTTCAAATAACTTATTTGTGATACTTTGATGCATTTTATGCTAATTTGTCTTAATATGGTATAGAGAACATCAAATGACAAACCCATTCCTGTCGACTCCATTCTAAAATATAATTATAAAATGTATATAATATTTACAATTATGTCATCAGGTATACAATTTATATAAATACAAACCTTGATGCAGTATTAACAGTATCACCTGCAAACAATATAATCAATTATTATTAACACTTAACGAACGAACCATTAATTAAGTTTGTTTGTATCAAAAATATTGGTATACAATTTATATAAATACAAACCTTGATGCAGTATTAACAGTATCACCTGCAAACAATATAATCAATTATTATTAACACTTAACGAACGAACCATTAATTAAGTTTGTTTGTATCAAAAATATTCTATCACCCTAATTGAACACAAAAATTGTGACATTATAAAGTTATATAAACTTTATATTACTTTAGAGTCTAGAATAAGTATGTTCTCTGGGAGAGTTTAATGAGAGCCCAGGAGAGCCTATTTTTGTGTAATTTATACTCTATTCAAGTGTTACTTACATATAGTGTACCTGAATATAAGGAGTGGAGTTTTTAATAAAAACTAAATTAAACATAATATAACAACAGGGCACATTATGACTATAATAAATGTAATCATTATAATGAATAACAGTATACAAAATATTAAGGTAACGCAAAAACCACGTCATGTTATAAAGAGCTAGAGAACATTCTTAGTCTAGAATATCTTGTTCTAAAGAAGTTTGCGCAACAATAATGGTGAAAATGCCAAAAATTTTGCATTAAAAATTTTGACCAATTGTTATTTCAGTAATTTAATTATGGTTGTAATCGCAATTAAAATTGATGTATGTGAAGTGAAATAATTACGTTACTCATAATAAAAAAACGTAGTCATTTATCACGAAATTTCTTATTATGTCCAAATTTGAAAACTCCTTCAGAATAATATTCCTCTCATCAATACCTTTCTATCGATAAGTAATATGATATACTTATTCATAAATTAAAAGATCTGATTTTAAAAAATTTTCCGATAAAAGTGGTCACTGCGGCCAGACCCGATGGAATCTGGACATATGAAGTATATCACTCGACTACCCATTGAGTGTATACTTTCATTTTATAACAATAATTCCCGGGTGCCCGCTAACACACAGATGCGCATCCTCCTTTAAAACGTAAATAACCATGATATTATGAAAAATGTATGTAAATGCATGTAAATATGGATGATGTCATTGATGAGAAAATTATTTTTCACAAATATTTATTGACAAAGTCTTTACCTAAAATCAAAAGACATTAAAACCATCATAACTTACTTATAATAAAAATTGGTGATAAGACTATACTTATTACACCAAATATCCTAGCAAGCACTTAGCATTGCCATAGATCTAACATTACCAATTAAATCCCTATGTCATAGACTTAACATTACCCATAAGACTAGCATTGCCATAGACTTAGGTAATGGTTACAATATCATATCGGCATCTGAATACGACATTCAGGGTAACTCAATTGTAACAGATATCTGAATCGTAATAAAGGTATCTGAATTGTAACAGGTATTCTAATCGTATCGGGTACAATATCCTATGCCATAGACATAGCATTACCCATGTTATCCCTATGCCATAGACATAGCATTACCCATATTATCCCTATGCCATAGACTTATGCTGTAATCTCATAGAAATCCATGTTAAAGCGGCCCCATGTTAAACCTATGAGAGTTTCCCCATGTTAAAGTATAGCCATAGGATTAACATGGGATCCCATGTTA